GGCTTGGGGGACTGAAGTAGGGCCTCCTGCAAGCCCTCAGGCAGGTGGTCTACCACCCAGCGAGGCTCTTTAGGCCTCTTCATTTTTTTTTTTAAGTGACCTTGGACAAACCCTTTGTCTCTGCTGTCCTACAGATTACAAGAAAGGCTGATCCTAGGTTCTCCCTCATGAAATTCTAATAGCCTTCTCCCACCCCCTGCTGTCACAGTCAGTCATTAGCAGTAAGGGAAACCTTCAATCAAACTAGGGTTCCACCCCCGGTTCCGCAAAAAAAGAAAAAAAAAAAACTAGGGTTCCCCTTACTTTTTTTTGCAGAACCAGGGATTGAACTCAGGCCCTTGCACTTGCCAGGGAAGTGCTTATTCCACTGAGCTATCTCCCCGGCCCCTTCTCCTTACTTTTTACTGTAACAACCAAAACAAAGCAAATAACATGTTTCCATTCTCCCCACTAGGTATTTATTCCTCTTCCTGTTTTTTCCTCATTTATTTACTTATTTACGTATTTTTGGGTACCAGGAATTGAACTCGGGACCTTGTAGTTGCCAGACAGGCTTATGCTGCTTAGCTATCTCCTCAGTCCTTGTTTTTACTTTATTTTCCTCAATTTTTAAAAAGCCCGCTGTGGCCTATTTGTTTCACATCTGGCTTTGGCTTTCATCACATTTGGCTGGACCTAAATAGTGATAGAGGAAGGGAGGGAAAATGACCAAAGCATGGTCAGCTCTCCTGCTTGTTCCTAGATCTGTTGAGTGAGGAGGCTGGAATACCCACTGGTAAGAGACAATGATGGAGGGAGGACCCCGAGACCCCTGAAAGAGAAAAAAGCCAAAAGATGTACGTTCTGGTCCTGGCTTTACCACCCATGAGACTCTCGCTTTGGACAAAGCATGTCACTGTTGTGAGCCTCACTGTAAAATGGAGCCTTATCCTAAAAATGCCCTCAGTACTTTAAGAGGCTAGGAGACCTCCAAGAACAGTTAAACCTACTCTAAGAATAGTTAAATGCTATTTTAAACAATTTCATTTATACATCTGTGCAATTTCTACCTCCAAACAAGTACTGTTGGTTACTTCTTTTCATCACAGGAGCCAAAAATAAGCAAGCAAAATCACCCACTTCTTGACAAATCTGAGCTGTAGACAAAATTACAGGCATACTAAAATAAAATGGGAAAAATACCAACAAATGACAAGAGACAAGTTAGCAGAGGTCTCACTTAAAGCTATATTAAGAAGGCTTCCTTAGTCATCTAAGGACAAATTTCTCTGCAATAGCTTGAATCTAGATCTCCTGTAGATTCCCAAAGCCTGCAAGAGTACATCAGTGTCTCTAGCTAAGAATATATTTATGAGGATAATGGACAGAAAGGTGGGGTGAAATAATCTACATCTTTAGGTTCCTCTTCTATTTTTTTAATCTTTTGTTTCTTTCTTTGTTTATTTGGTATAGGGGCTCTCTATGCAGCTCAGACTCACAGTGATCCTTCTGTATCGGCCTCCCCACTGCTGGGATTACAGACATGTGTCATCATGCCTGGTTCTGGTGGCCGGCACAGCATGCAGTACCAGAGATGGAACCAAGGTCCCTGTGCTTGCCAGGCAGGTGCTTAAACTGCTGAGCTATCACCCCAGCCCTCTAAGCTTCTCTTCAGAAGAGGCAAGCCATGCCAGAGAAGGGATGCTGAAACTCTGACAGGGCCAGCACAGTGGCCAAGTCTCAGGTTTGAAGTCCCGCCTCTGCCACTTATTGACAGGGGTAGTGAGCCTTTCAGGAAGGTTTTTCACCTGCCAGGTGAAGGATGATACTATCTACTTTAAAGGGATACTCTGAGTATTAAAAAAGAATGTATGAGGCCTGGCCAGACAGCTCAGCGGTCTAAAGCGCCTGCTTAAACAAGCTTAGGCAAAAGCACAGGGACTGCGGTTCGATCCCTGGCACCATATGCCATGCCAGCCCTGCACCCAGGATATACAGAGCCAGTCACAAAAATCAATCAATCAATCAATCAATCAATCAATCAATCTGTAGGCTTTTCTCTTATATCAATGGTTCCTCTCCATGGTAGCTTTGCCCTCCCAGGGGACATTTCACAGCATCTGAAGACATTTTAGTAGCCATCACTAGGGATGCTACTGGTACCTAGTGGGTAGAAGGCCAAGGATGCTACAAAGTACCCTACACTGCACGGGAACCGTGTCCCACAAAAATTATGGTGGCACACATTTGTAAACCCAGCACTTGAGAAGCCGAGGTAGGAGGATCACTACAAGTTCAAGACCAGTCTGGGTTACATGTCTCAAAAAAAAAAAAAAAAAAAAAGTGGCCTAAAACATCAAACATCACCAAGACCAAGAAATCCAACCCTATAGAAACACTCTCTGATATTCAGTCTGAGAAAGCTACTTCCCTTTCTTAGTTTACTCACTAGCAATATGAGATAAATTTACCTTTGCCCCCATCTCCTTAAGCTGTTAGGAGAATCAAATGAAATAATGGTTCAAAGGCACTTGCCTTATTATACATTTTATAACAAATGCAAAGCTGGGCACAGACAGTAGCATTTTCACACTAAGGATGGTGGACAGCTAATGGAATGTAATTCTTTGTGTGGGAAAGCCTCCATACAAAGGGGCCTCTTGTCTACTCGTTTAACTGGAGCACCGAAGTTCTCACGCATTGCAGCACTAGGACAGAGGCATGCCTCAGGAAGAGGGGAGCAAAATGTAGTGTGGGAAGTTGGTGGGTACAGCACAGCTATGAGAAAGGAGCTGACAAGAGATTAGGAAGTGAGACACTGCTTGCTGTCTACTTGAGCTGCCATAACAGAACACAATAGCCTAGATGGCCTAAAAACAGAGATGTATCTTCCCATGATGCTGAAAACTGGAAAGTTCAACATCAAGATTCTACTGGAGTTTGGTAGAGCTCTTCCTGGCTTACAAACAGCTGCCTTCTCACTGGTTCCCAATCAGTGGTAGAGCACTTGGACCCTGGGTTCAACCTTCAGTACTGGGCGGGGGGGGGGGGGGGGCCCTTAACCACATCCTAGACTAGTTTAGTTAGGCATCAGCTAATTTACAAGGCAAGTGAGACTAGGCAGTTTAGCTTCAGGAAGGTAGTAACCTATCCTAAGCCTTATCAGAATCAGTTGAGGAATTTTTAAAACATAGATTCCTGGGTCCCACTCCAGATCAGAATGTAAGAGGGAAGGGCTGGGTGACACACACAGCCTCTGTGGTCTATGATTCTCAGCCTTGGCTTCTCATTGGAAATTACCTGCCTTGTAAATATTTATTTCTGTAGCTATACACCAGGCTGTCAGATGCAGATTTTATGACCTTCTTCCTCATGGCACATTATTTTGGAAATAGCCCTTCACATTCACAAAAAGATGCTACTTCAAAGAGGAAGTTTTCTGGAAACACAAGGAAAATCATCAAAATAAAAAGTGTGAGGCTTGCCAAAAGACCAGGAAGTTTGGTGAAAGATACAAGAAGAGGCAGTAATAGAGAAGAAGAAGTAACAATAAAAATTGGGCTGGCAGGATTCAACAGCAAATTAGTAAACACATGGAAGCCAGCAGGCCTGGAAGCTGCGAAAGACCTTGTTTGAGCCGGTAAGGGTAATAGGCAACAGCGTCTTCTGGAGCCTCCAGCCCTCCCCACCCATCTTATCCATCAGTTCTTTCTTGCATGCTGTGTATGCACATGCAACAAGATGCAAGAATATTGTAGTATTTTAAAAGGGGCAAATGATAAAGCCAAAAGAATAGGGTATAGAAGAAGGAATTTCTAACACATTTACTGAACAGAGACAGGGAAAAGAGATGAGCTTGCCTAACTTTTTTATACCTCATGCCACACTATCCTGCATGCTGAGTCCTGGGGGCTGTCAACTATTGCTATTCATCTTGAAATTCGCTAATACTAACATAAAAAATGAAGTTATCACCGAGATACAGGCATCCTGATGAAAAATATGATGTTGAGAGAAATGTGACCACAAAGTCTAAGAACTTCAGGGAGTTTCAGCTTGGTGCATCACTAGTCAAGCACATGAAATTTCCCTTGTGGAAATGGAAAGGGGGGCTGGTAAAATGGCTCAGTGGTCTAAAGCACCTACTTAGAACAAGCTTGGCGAAGCACAGGGACCACAGTTCAATCCCCCAGCACCAAATGCCAGCCAGCCCCCCCACACACACACAAATAAAAATGTTTAAAAAAAAAGAAATGGAAAGGGGCCGGGGAGATGGCTCAGTGGAATAAGCACTTCCCTGGCAAGCGTAAGGACCTGAGTTCAATCCCCAGTTCTGCCAAAAAAAAAAAAAAAAAAAAAAAGAAAAAGAAAAAAGAAATGGAAAGGCACCTGGATTCTAAAGCAAAGGCCACCATCATCCTTCCTAGTTAACTTTTCCACATTATTTTCTTCCTTAACATCTCTATCACAAAAAACAGGAAAGTCTCAAAAATAACTTGGCTAACCTTGACCTGTGGAACCAAAAGTAAGGGGTCAAAAGAAAAGAGGAATGGGTTAAGAATTTTTTTTTTTTTTTTTTTTTTTTTTTTCCGGAACTGGAGATTAAACTCAGGCCCTTGGGCTTGCCAGTCAAGTGCTTACTCAACTGAGCTATCTCCCCGGCCCATTAAGAAATATATTTTTAAAAGTATTCCTTCCACTGAAAATCAAGCCTAATTTTTTTTTGTTTTTTGTTTTAATTTTTATTTGTGTGTGTGTGTGTGTGTGTGTGTGTGTGTGTGTGTGTGTGGCCAGCTCAGCCCACCAGGGGGCGGGGCTGGCTGGCATGTGGTGCTGGGGGATTGAACCACGATCCCCATGCTTTAGCTGAGCTTGTTCTAAGTAGGTGCTTTAGACCACTGAGCCATCTCACCAGCCCCAAGCCTAATGTTTTGAGATGGTTATTATTCAGCTTATATAGAAAATGAACTATCACAAAAGAAAAGTCCTGTGTACATCTCAGTAAACAGAGCAATCTTTACCTTATCATTTAGAAGTGGTTTGATCTCTGTGAGCTGAACATCCTGAAGTTCATCCATGAGTACAGATGACAGCGGAGATGTCTCAAGTACAAATCAGTAACTCTGAAAGAGAAGAAAAAAGCTTAAAGCGGGCGAGGAGCTAGAAACACAGAAGTCACGCTTACACCCATTCATTCAAATATCAGAACTTATCATACTCCCATCACGCACCACTCAGTGAGCTAAGACATAAAGTGAAGGCAGGAGACTACAGCAGCCACCCTGACTCTTGCCTCCTTGTACTCACAGCCTTACGCAATCCTCCCACTGAAGCTGAGTGGAACCTATGGCTTGCTTTTAACTTGAGTACCTGTATAATGACATGATCTAATATTTTAAAATCTGTCTTACTGAGAGACACTCTGTCCTAGCTTTGAAGAAGCCAGCCGATATGCTATGAGACAGCCACATGGCAGGACACTAAAAGCAGCCTTTTGCTGAAAAACAGAAAGAAACAGACTCTCAAGGGAACTGGCCAAAGAGCTCACAGGATTAAAGTGCCTGCTAGCAGGCACAGGGACCTACTTCTGGGGTGGGCTGAGATGGCAATTGAGACTGGGTGTGGTGGCGCCCACCTATAATCCCAGCTCTTGGTAGGCTGTAAACAAGTGGATCACTGAGTCTGATCTAGCAGTGAGACCCTGAGCACCCTGTAGACCCTTCCCTAAAATTAAAAAGAAAAAAAAAGAAAAAAACTGAGACTCTTGGGGCTGGGGAGATAGCTCAGTAAAATAAACACTTGCCTGGCAAGTGCAAGGTCCTGTGTTCAATCCCTGGTACCACAAAAAAAAAAAAAAAAAGAAGGAAAGAAAGAGACTCTTAGTCCATTTATCTGGAAGGAGCCCAATGCTATCAATAACCAGATTATCAGGGGCCAGAGAGATGGCTCAGTAGAATAAGTGCTTGCCTGGCAAGCACAAGGGCCTGAGTTCAATCCCTAGTTCTGGGGAAAAAAAAAAAAAAAAAGGAACAAAAAAACCCCAATCAGATCATCACATAACCAGATTCCTAGTGGTGCAGCCAAGATGACACCAGACTGCAGCCTTGCAGAAGATCCAGACAACCAGACTCCTGGTCCACAGAGACGATAAATGTGCTTTGTTTTAGCCCACTGTTTGTGGTCATAATTTTATAAAACCACAAATAATTAACACTACAGTCTTTCCCCTCAAGGACTGTATATTTTAATTGCTAAAGATGCTTGATAAGAAACACTCTGAACTATACTTCTGGAATCAACAATTTGGGCATGTCCTATAATACCAGCACTCAGGAAGCTGAGGCAGGAGGGTTGCCTTGAGTTCAAGGCCAGCCTCCACTACATAGTAAGTCTAAGGCCAGCATGAACTACATAGCAAGACCTAGTAGATTGGCAGTGTATAAGGACCAGAGATTGGTGTTGTAGGCTAAGGGCTCAAATTAGAAAGGCAACAGAAATAAAGAGGGAAATAAAGTAAGGCTAGCTCACTAAACTTCACTGGGGAATCATAACCGTGGAAAAATATGGTAGCCTCCAGGGTGGCCTTTCTACTATGAATCCAGTGATCCTCAACTAGCCCGCTTGGGCAATCTCAGTCAGGAGCAGATGACCACGGTTCAATCGGCTTCCCATGCCACACCAGACCCACCTTAAGGCAGCCTTAGCCAGACCAAAAAATAAAAATAAAAAAAAAGAAAATCCTAAAATCCTTCCCAATGATCCTCAACTCATAATATCCATACCTGTGTATAATCAAATAAATCAGGGAGGCTTATGTAACAAATAGGATAGGGTGGAAGGAATATGTGATCTTCTAAGCTACAGCACAAAGGCATTCTAGTTTCTGCTTCAAGATTATAGGCTTGAACCATTATTTAAGTCCATCTGTAGACTGACCAACATGCCAATGGAACCAGCCAGCCAGGCATACGAAGATTCTTGCAAACGGATCCTCCCACCCCAGTCAAGAGCTCAGATCCCTGGAACCCCAGAGACTCCCGGTTGCAGCATGAGGCCTGCTTACAAACCCTGACCCACAGAAACCATTACAGATAATTCTGTTCTGGAGTGATACATTACATAACAATAAATAACACAGAGAGGGAGCAGATGGATAAACTGAGAAAAGAGCAAAGTTGGAGGGAGACAGGCAGTGTAGTTAATTAGCTAGAAATCCTTTGTGTACAGGAAGCCATGGGGCAAGGCTGCAAACACTGGGTTTCACACACGCAAGTGACTTCAAAGCTCCAGGATTCATCCCTTTTACCATGGTCCTATATCCCTCAAGTCAGAAAAAATGCTAATTAACCATTTAATAACTATGTTGGGGACCTACTAGTAATAGTAAAAAATACTATGAAAGATTTAAAGGAGGTTCTTACCTTCCACGAGATTGCCAGAATATGAATCCTAGGACAGTAATTCATACAAAATGATAAAAGTATGAAAGCTCAGAGGAAAAGTTATTTGTAA